GTTTTTCCAAGCTGGCTTCATCTGCTTGGAACCCCCAGAAATGACCAACCTCCACCACCTACAGCAGATTTCAGAGACGATACATCCATTAATATTCATAATATTTATTCAAATAAAGAAAGTCGGGTATTTAGTAGGGGAAATAAAAACAGAATAGAAGACTAACTTTTGTGATGTTCACCACAAACAAGCGATTGGGGGGTAGCTTGGCGGGGTCGATGGTGCTGCTGACCACTCCCACTGGGCAGACAGACTGGCTCTGGAAGTCAACATTCACGCTGCACAGAAACAGAGATTTTAGGTGATGCTTCGCTGTCACCACTGACTACACACTGGCATGTGTGTACTTATAGCCGTTTTACTGTGATGAGTTAAACTGAGTCAGCGTCTCATTTTAAAGAGTAAACAGATGTCTGCTATGTGTTCACCAAAATAAAACATTTTAAGAACAAGCAAACGTACAATTTTATTCAGAATTTACCAGCAATAACAACAGCTGAACATTATATTTTATGGAAAAAAAAACACAAATTATGAGGAGAAGCTAAAACTGTATTTTATCAAAATATGTCAGCATTCTTACAATTAAATGTGTCACCCTACAGCCCAGCAGGGGTAGGAAGAAGCTGGCACTGTTTTGCCTAAAACCTCCACTCTGAGTCCAATGATTGCTGGCAAGAGGCATGCAGAGTGCTAGGATGTCAGATTACATTAAGGTTTAGGGCCAAGGCACTGACCACTGCAGCCTGTTATGTAGGGGTTAGATTTGCCAAAAACACTGAGTCCTCAAATGACAGACACAGCCACAACTTAGTGGTTAAGATGACATTTTGTCCTTGCCGAACATGTTCAAGATTTCAGCCCATGACTTAGATTTTTCTCAGAGAGACAACTACATTTGGCATCTGAAATATGCGAAACTCGGCGTACCGTGAATATTTCATGTGAGTTATGTGTCTGTTCCCAGCACAGTTTTCTATTTGTTCAATGGGGTAGACTGACAGCTCCATTGCAGGGCTCTGATGGGCCAGCAGGAGGGCAAGAGACACTTCAGGTAGCACACCAGAGTCCTGGGATGTCCTGTAGAACTCCACATATGCTCTGAGTGCACACACACACACACACACAAAGTGAGATTAAAACTAAGTGCACAAAGGTTCAAGCAGACAAAGTACTGAGTGATGATGTTTGACTTGCCACAGTAGCCTCTAGTACCTGGAGCTATCAAAGGAAATGGCTTTGACCTGTCCACAGAGGCGGAACAGGCACTGCAGCTGCTTGTAATACAGGAAACTGTACGGTGGAAGGTTCCTCAACTAAAAACAACAGTTTGATGATACAATTAGAAAAACAAAACTGACAATTTAATTGCCTATAAACCAAATTATAATTTGGACAGAAATAAAAAGTCTGGGTCCGAAAGTGAATGCTTAATTGCCTTAAACCTTTCTAAAGGCTAGCAGCAGTGACAACCTCTTCTAAGTTTGTGGTGAAGCGGCCCTTATTTCTTCACTTTGTGATTATTTTCCTAATGAACCTGGGCTCAGTTGATAGTTTCAGGTCAAACGGAATAAAATAATTTTGATTTTAAAAATTTGGGTGATTATTAGAGTGATAAAAAAGGATTATTCTGGTTATGCTCAGCTGCTCACTACCTGTGAAATGTAAACACCTTTGAGTTACTGTATCTTACTTTGTAATAACTTGTACACTCCAATTTTAACCGTACAGAATTTCCAACTCATCTGTCATTACACTTGTATCCTTCCATTTCTCTCGATTAGAAAGTAGGATGGCTAGCATGTTGCAGCCTCCTTCATCGACATCATCATACCCGACGCATACACAGGGTCTATCTTTAACCTCCTAGAACCTGGTGTCCACATATTTGAACATCACATTTTGGGTTGTCTAGACCAAAATACTAAATTTGGGCCTACATGGGCCTGATATCCACTTACGAGGACATTATGCTGCCACTGTTCTATCAAAATTAAAACAAATGTACTCTTATGTGGATCTAATTTTTCTCAGAAACAAAAATCAGGTCATTCTTTTTTTTCTTTTTTATACATTCATCAGGTCCCAATCAGCCCAGACACCAAAGAGAAATTGTAAATGCATGCCATGAAAGAGGTCAGGTTTTAGGAGGTTAAAGCAGCTTTGTATTATCCTTCACACAGTTTAAAATCACACTTGGAGCATTTCAGAAGCAGAGCGTTCAGTCTGTGTGGTGCCTTTTATTAAGAAAATTTAAAAATGATCCAAATTTGTGTCTCAGTGGTTGGACTATATATACATATCTTTCTTTTAAAAAAGGGAATGAGTTGAGGGCTGCTTCTTGGCAGCTTTTGAAACATCCTAAAGAACAAACACTGTTTTGAGTGGGCACAATCAACTCTGGTGGTCAGAGGTAGAAGCCAGGAAATGATGCTTACAGAATATTTTTAATGCTTTTGAGAGCATTAAGGCCAATTTGTGAATTCAAGTATGGAATGGAGCTTGGTCTGTTGCAAAAGCAGCAAAATTGGCTTCAGATTCCAGCTAGACAAGCAAATATAAATGTGTAGAGCAGGCAAACACAGAGACACTATTGGCTACAAATTTTTGTGGAGACGTGACTACAAACAAGATCACTTGATCTGTATTTAAGACAATTTAATTGGATAAGTGGAAGAAATCGATGGATGGATGGATAGATAAATACTTTATGCCCTTTTAATTAAAAACTGTCCATCAAACATCTTTAAAAACTTTAAGGACATGCAAGCAAGATGCGAAAAGGGAGTGAGATAAATTTGTCGTTCTTAGACATTTACGAGAAAAGTAAAGCCTGTTTTAGGTAAATCATCAGCCAGCTTGAATTGTACATGAAGTCTAATAATGATAACAACAACCAATTGCTTATTAACAAGTTTATAAATAATTCTTATTATGTTAATAACGTAATGTGCTATGTTAACATGAAGTAAAGTGTAGCTGAGCCAAGCTGTAGATGAGGTAATAATACCATCACTGTCGTTCTGGGGTTGAAGCCACTCAGCTCTCTGGAAGCCAGGGCTTCATCTATATCCACCTGGAGAAAGTAGTTTGGGTAGTACGCACCAGCAATGACCACCTAAGAAGCAGTGAGTCACAATTTACATCAAACTGACAGTCAAATATACTCAGACATGCAAAAAACCCCAAAGCTCCTTACATTGTCACACTATAATGTTTAAGACAATTTATAAACATCCCACAGTTTTCAGCAAAGACTAACCTGAAGAATGAATGCCTGCTTGCGTGCACTGGTGTAGTCTGAGAACTGGCTTTCCTCTGCTACATTCATGTTGAATTGGGACACACGCTTCTTCAGCTCCTCATACAGCTCTGCAACCTGGTCAGCAATTTCAGTAAGCAAGTATTTATACTTTCTTTAAACTGCATGTTCAACAGCTAGAAAACATTGTAAGGACTATAAATTTTAATACCTAATTTGCAAAAGACATCACGGGGTTACCCATGACCTCACAAAAGGAATCAAATTTAAATTAACTTAGCGCAAAAAGTAAGGCAATTTGTGTTTTGTTGTTTATTGCTTTGTTGTAACAAAGCTTCCTGGCAACACTTTTGGAAAGCCTGTTAATTTCCCCTGAAACTGTGGCTCATTTGCTTACTTTCTGTGCCAAGTTTGTATCAGCTTAAAATACACTGCAATTATCACTTAACACCTGCTATTTAATGCACTCAGGTCACGCCTTCTCCTGAAATGTTATTCTCTGAACACATGCGACTTTGATCTCTGTACCTCTCTGATCCTCTTGATCTGAATGAAGTTCTCCTTTCCCCAGTCCAGTTCATCCTAAGAAGAAAAGGCAGCAAATACATTTAATTTTTGCCAAAAACACAAAACAAACAGACAAAAAAAACAAAAACATTGTTATAATGTTGTGTTAAGTTTAATTCACTCTTAGAATTTGAATACCTCAACACTTTTATGGGCGGCTAAAAATTCTAAGTAGGTACCCTGATCATTTCTATAATACCTAGGATCTTTCTGGCCTCAGCAAACAACAACCAGGCTATAACAACAATAACAGCAGCTACTAAGAACTGTTATGTGAGGTCTTTGACATGAAAAACAGGGCACAGAATATATTGCAAAAACACAGGATAAATCTTGTTTTGAGTGACAACTTCACAGAGTCAGCTAGAAGTTAAACTGTAAAGAAGATGGTTCTACAGCAGGATAATGATCCAAAAAATAGACCTCAAAAGTCACCAGATGAATAACTTTTTTACTAGAGACAATTGCTGTACGAACACACAAAGTGCTGGCAGGTTGATGGGGATGGTTCATAAAAAGCCCTCCCACATAGTGCGTGGGTTTTGTTTCTATGGCAACATCATCTAGACAACATATCACCAATCTGACCAGTGTTGTATGATAGACTATCCTTGCCCCTTTCCTATTTATTCCCTATTTCTTATTCCTAGACTTTAACCCCTGTGACGCTGACATGGATAGTCAGGTTGGAGAGACATGGTCAGAAGAAGCTGCTCCTCCATTTGTTGGCTACCCATTTAATGTGATTTGTTGCCTTAAAAACTGATAACAGCACCTATTATTGTCTATATTTTATAGAGAATTAGCCTTGGAAAATCACTTGCCACAGGATCCAAAATCCTGAAACCAGGAAGGAAGATAGTTGTACATTTTCTTTGTTTCAAATACTGTAGTAATATCTCCATTAGCTCTAATAATACCCTTTTAGTTGTCTGAGTGAAAAAGTGAATTGCTGAAACAATTACACTACTTCTATTCTTTCAGAATCTCTTGGTATAGTTTGCCTCCTAAGAGGCTTTATGATGTCAGAAAACGTCTCGAGCAGGTCTGACTGTGAGTTAAAGTGAGTGACAATCAGCACTTATTGATCTTCTTTCATTGGTAAGTAGTTTGTACAAAGCTTTCTGGTGTGCTTGGGGTCATTATCCTGGTAGGGTGGCTCACATCGCTGAAGGTTAGAGTAATTTAGTTCATAGTATACCTTTGGGTGCCTCAGCTGTCCTTTCTTCTTGGCTGAGTGCCATGCCTAATATAAAGAAACGAGAGAGAATAGAGCAACCACACATGAAAATCCACTCAAAATCAAAACCTGCTGGAGATATGTAAAAAATTCTTTACCTTGAAGGCATTTAGGAAAGCTATGGAATCACTTGGTGTGCCACGGGTAAAAGCCAGCTTGCTCCTGGAGTTACACATGATACAAAAAAAGAATAATTACAAAACACACAACCCATATCTGCTTTTGACCTGATTCTAATGTAAACATGTTACAATTAGACACGTGACCAATATAAGTATACACTGGAAGAAAAATTACTGACGATCTAAACTAAAAAATCCCAAACTGGAGGTGAACAGTGGAGTGATGTGACATTATTTTTTCATACTTTTTCTTTTTTGCTGGAATGTGAGCATTTTTCTGAATGCATCAGATATTACGCTGCACTAAACATGTAAAGGTGCGTCAAAAGCTCTAGTTTAAATGAAGTTACTTTACTACGTAATGCATGAAATGCAGCCACAGTGTTGGTACACAAAATCTAATGTGACATCATGAGTCTGTAAATCAGTGCACCTGCTGGATCAGACTCACCTATGGCCAGCAATCTGCTGCATGGACGGTATCGCAAAGAAGCTCTTCAGAGAGTGAGAGGCAGCTGAGAATGAGAGAGTATGTTGTGCAAAAGTATTCCGAAAAACATGTTACACATTTAGGCTGTAAAGCTATGTCTCTAGAAAACATGCCGTAAACAACAGATACCACCAAGTACCATGATAGACTAACCAATGATGAGGCACTCATCCAGGCAACCAAAGACGTGGCCCAGGACAATCATCTTCCCCAGGTACAGGTCTAAAGGCAAGTGAGCCAGCACTCGGCCCAGGAATGTCAGCTCACCATCTTCATTTTGACCTCTGCTTTCACTTTTCACAGACAGCGCACCCATCTGCAGTGTGACAGACAGCATACTCTATGCACACAACTAATGAACTTCTAAACTCATAACATTTTAGCTTTAACATATGCGTATACACACACACACACACACACACGGGGTGCAACGATATTCGTATCGATATTGAACCGTTCGATACAGTGCTTTCGGTTCGGTACGCATATGTATCGAAGAATACAACATTTTTTATTTATTTTATCAACTTTTCTTCTGACGATGCTGTCTGTGTTGAGCGCTCAGTGGATCTGCGTTCGACTACTCCGCCTAGGCTGCACTGTCGAGCGCAGATCCACTGAGCGCAGCGCAAGCTAGCAAGACAGAAGCTAAGCTCTTGCAACATGGCAAATTGAACCTCCCCCACCCTCATTCAGATCTGGCGCTTTGGAACTATTTTGGTTTCATGTGACGTATGACCCTGAAGGTAAGCGCGTCATGGACAAAAGTAAAACAGTATGTTGGATGTGCCACGCAATGCTCAATTACATGGGTGGGAACTACTGCGTTAGCGCAGTTAGCTCGTTAACGTGTTGACGCCGTCCAGCCCCACGCACGGGGCGATCCGCGGTAGCTCGTTAACGGAGATTTGCCGTGTTGTGGCGTTAACGTCATTTCGAGATTAACGCTGACAGCACTAGTGGGAACACAACGAATATGACTGCACATTTACACCGACATCATCCTAGTGCAAAGACAAAAACAACAAGCATGCTACAACTTTAGCCGAGTCATTTAGACAGCTGTTAGCACATGATTCTCCTAATATGCTGCTGAGAATATAGCCCAGAAGAAGCGGATAGTATAGCTTTTATTTTGGAAAGAGCCATTTCTCTGTAATAAACTCTCTTTTCCAAAGATGAGTGATTTCTCGATCAGATAGATTTATTTTTTTATTACTTTGTTGTTTCAGCAACATTAATTTAAAAACTGTACTTTTGAGTTAAAATATATATTTATAATTTTAATAAATGACAAATTAAAAAAGCATGAACATTTTTTTGTATCGAAAAAATATCGAACCGTGACACCAAAGTATCGAACCGTGATTTTGTGTATGTTGCACCTATATATACATACAGGGAGTGCAGAATTATTAGGCAAGTTGTATTTTTGAGGAATAATTTTATTATTGAACAACAACCATGTTCTCAATGAACCCAAAAAACTCATTAATATCAAAGCTGAATGTTTTTGGAAGTAGTTTTTAGTTTGTTTTTAGTTTTAGCTATTTTAGGGGGATATCTGTGTGTGCAGGTGACTATTACTGTGCATAATTATTAGGCAACTTAACAAAAAACAAATATATACCCATTTCAATTATTTATTTTTACCAGTGACACCAATATAACATCTCCACATTCACAAATATACATTTCTGACATTCAAAAACAAAACAAAAACAAATCAGCGACCAATATAGCCACCTTTCTTTGCAAGGACACTCAAAAGCCTGCCATCCATGGATTCTGTCAGTGTTTTGATCTGTTCACCATCAACATTGCGTGCAGCAGCAACCACAGCCTCCCAGACACTGTTCAGAGAGGTGTACTGTTTTCCCTCCTTGTAAATCTCACATTTGATGATGGACCACAGGTTCTCAATGGGGTTCAGATCAGGTGAACAAGGAGGCCATGTCATTAGTTTTTCTTCTTTTATACCCTTTCTTGCCAGCCACGCTGTGGAGTACTTGGACGCGTGTGATGGAGCATTGTCCTGCATGAAAATCATGTTTTTCTTGAAGGATGCAGACTTCTTCCTGTACCACTGCTTGAAGAAGGTGTCTTCCAGAAACTGGCAGTAGGACTGGGAGTTGAGCTTGACTCCATCCTCAACCCGAAAAGGCCCCACAAGCTCATCTTTGATGATACCAGCCCAAACCAGTACTCCACCTCCACCTTGCTGGCGTCTGAGTCGGACTGGAGCTCTCTGCCCTTTACCAATCCAGCCACGGGCCCATCCATCTGGCCCATCAAGACTCACTCTCATTTCATCAGTCCATAAAACCTTAGAAAAATCAGTCTTGAGATATTTCTTGGCCCAGTCTTGACGTTTCAGCTTGTGTGTCTTGTTCAGTGGTGGTCGTCTTTCAGCCTTTCTTACCTTGGCCATGTCTCTGAGTATTGCACACCTTGTGCTTTTGGGCACTCCAGTGATGTTGCAGCTCTGAAATATGGCCAAACTGGTGGCAAGTGGCATCTTGGCAGCTGCACGCTTGACTTTTCTCAGTTCATGGGCAGTTATTTTGCGCCTTGGTTTTTCCACACGCTTCTTGCGACCCTGTTGACTATTTTGAATGAAACGCTTGATTGTTCGATGATCACGCTTCAGAAGCTTTGCAATTTTGAGACTGCTGCATCCCTCTGCAAGATATCTCACTATTTTTGACTTTTCTGAGCCTGTCAAGTCCTTCTTTTGACCCATTTTGCCAAAGGAAAGGAAGTTGCCTAATAATTATGCACACCTGATATAGGGTGTTGCATGAACTACTACACCATCTATCTATCTATATACATACATACACACACACACACAAACACACACACAAATCTTTTAATCATAAATCAGCGGTCCCCAACCTTTTTTGCGCCACGGACCGGTTTATGCCCGACAATATTTTCACGGACCGGCCTTTAAGGTGTCGCGGATAAATACAACAAAATAAAACTAGTACCGGTACCGAAAAAAAGAAGATTTATTCATAACACACGTGAAAAGACCCAGGAAAACCGAGTTAACGATAAAAACGATAACAAAATAACGCTGAAAACCGATAAAAACCCTGAAAACCATACATTTCACACCTGAGCCTCAACTCTCGCGGCCCGGTACCAAACGACTCACGGACCGGTACCGGTCCGAGGCCCGGGGGTTGGGGACCGCTGTCATAAATCATTTAATAAAAACAGCCATGTTATGCTTTTTGGAGTTTTTCTTCATTACTTCATTCTAGCATGTGTTCTTTTTATACACATCCTCCCTTAGGAAGTAAAGCAGTTTGTCAACAACTTGGAAGGTCGGTAGTGCAATCCACAGCTCTTCCTTTTCCTTTGTGTAGCAACAAGCACCTAAGCTACATAACGCTGAAAAGGGATTGCCTGATTTACATCGCACCAATCCTTCAAAACACAGCATTTAGCAGCAAGTGTTTCAAGTGTGTAGATGGAGGAGGCAATGTGGTTTGTCTACTACTGGAAGACTGCTGGTAAATTTCTGCCTTCTGCAGTCTGGATATCAAAGCAACCTTTGAGCAATCTGGTCACCCTGACTACCCATCACAGTGTGATTTTGTGTTAATATTAAGCTTAAAACCTTCCCTTTTTATAAAGCATATAGTTAGGACCCTATATCCATCCTTAGTTACGCTGCAATAGGTCTAGGCTGCTGGGGCTTTCCCATGATGCATTGAGTGTTTCTGTTTCATTCACCACATGTTCATACATCTCTATGCATTTAATCATTAGTTATTATTAATCTCTGGCAGTCTTCCACAGCGTGTCTTTATCTCGTCTTCCTTCCCTCACCCCCAAATGGTAGTCTCTTGCTGAGCCTGGCTCTGCTGGAGGTTTCTTGTTGTTCAAAGCAAGTTTTTTCTCCCCACTGTCACCAAAGCATTGCTCAAAGGGGTTTTCTCTGTGTTATTGTAGGTAGGGCTGGGCCATATCATACCGTTCACGGTAATACCGGTATAACGTTGGGCAACGACAAGAAAATAAAATATCGCGATAGAATATGGGTAAAACGCACATGCGCAGTGCCTTTGTTTTCATACGCACATAGAGAAAAAGGCACGGCGGCGACGGTTATGCTGAGGATATGTCGGCCAATTTCCACTGGAAATGCCTTTTGGTGAAACTGTCAGCAAGGAATTTGCATTTGCACTGTTACATTTTTATATAACTTTGTCTAGTGTCAATTATATCGTCAGTTATATCGTTACCGCAAATTTTCAAATGTATATCGTGGTAAATATTTTTGGTCATATCGCCCTGCTCTAATTGTAGGGTCTTTGACTTACAATATAAAGCGCCTTGAGGGGGCTGTTGTGATTTGGTGCTATATAACTGAATTGATAAAACTGAACTGAACTGAAAAAAGTGTGCATTATGGTGAAAAAATTAATTTGATTTAAAAGGTGATTCCAGTGCTCAGTTATACAAAAATAACTATGTAGTCATATACCAAGAGGTAAAATTAAATACTTAACAAATGCTATTAAATCAGAAATACTAAAATAAAAAGATAACATGCACATTTTCATTCCCTTAGCCTAACACACGACATCATTAATATTCGACATGGCCCTATTGTGCTCTCATGCTACATAAACTATGTGAACACTGGCTGACGCAAAGCTCCTCTCAGAGAACTCAAGGTCTAATCCTCAGACAGAGCTGGCGGTCAGCTGCCCGTCCAAATACATAACAATCACCATTACAGCTACACATTTGTCTGCACTTGACTAGACAATAATGCCTCTCTCAGAACACAATCATCAAGTTACACTCTCTACCTCTTTGAGTTGCAGCACAGTCCTAACTATGTCAGAGAGGTTGGGAGGTGAGAGTGCTGTGGAGAGGAGGGAGCGGGGATCTCCCATGTCCAGCAGCTTCACTTTCAACAAGACAGTGGAGAGCGGAGCAAGCTGAGGAAATAGAAAATAGTAGAGCACAGATCGGTTTTCAGAAGTAAGGTCTGAACTGCATTAAAAACTGGTCACTGGCACAGTCCCTTACCAGCATCTCGGGAATCATGTAGTCTGGGATTTCCTTTTTCCAAAACTCTTTGGTAACAAGTCTGTAACAGTAGCCCTTTGACACTCGACCTGCCCGACCTGTCAGGAAACAAACATTGAGTTAAAGGCAGAAGTGATAGTAAGCACTTAAAAGGTCTAAAATGGTCGTACCTCTGCGTTGGTTGCAGCTGGTTTTGGAGGCCCAGGTGAGATGCAGAGACTCGTAATGGGTATCCGGGTCACACACCAATTGGCGAACCAGACAGAAGTCAATAACTGTCATTAAAAAAAAATGCTAATACAAATTAACTTAAAATAAATACATAAATAGATCTCAGAGAACAAACCACTTAAAACCACATGGGAGCACGATGTGGGCAGTTCTCTTGTAAGTCATGAGTGGAAATCACATTGAGCAAAAACCTTTTCACATAAGCTGAATATTTTTTACATCAACTATTTTACACCAGAGCACCATAGGAGAAATGATTCAACGCAAATCTTTGCTCTAGGTGCAAGACAGACAAAGTGACCTAATTCATGTAATATGGAAATAAACATTAACTAACACATGTTGTCAGATTTTAGGAGATGACATAGTGCAGTTATTTGTTTTTCTATATTTATTCATTGTTGTTTACCTTACTAATTGTATTGTTCTCTCTGATGTTGGCAGCGACACGACCATTAATTTTGATATGGCCTTTGTCTGGTAGTAGGTGCAGGTGGGACTGCTACTTGGGAATTATTTCTTGTATCTTGCTCTTATTTAACTTCCTTTTTTCCTTACAACATTATTGATATCTGTATGCCTTAATTCTCAGTTTCTTGTAAATAGATGATGAAAGAAGAGTGACAATAGATGAAGTCAGATTTTTAAAAATTTAAAACTGAAAAAACCCACCATATTTGACATCTGGAACAGTCACTGAACTCTCTGCAATGTTGGTGGAAAGGATCACCTGTGAGGATTAGAAGATAATTGGTATAGCAGGTACTGACAGCACATGCAAAAAGTTACGATCAACAGCTTTTACCTTCCTGTATCCAGGAACAGGAAAGAGGAACACGCCGTTCTGCTCCTCCAGTGTCACTGAGGAGTGAAGAGGATAAACCTGCAATCTGAAAAAAGCAGCATGCTGAGTTTGAACTTAATGTTAAAGTACTACTCATTTACCTTTACTGATCTGCTACTTCTGCACCTTCCCCACTATCTACAGAGATTGGATACTTTCTACCACTGTGTATCACGTTCATTGTGCATCTTCACTTTGTTTCACTATGGGAGATACAACCTACTCCCAGATTGTGTCAACCCTGAGCCAGAGATGACTGTGCAGCATCCAGCCTGCGAAAATGCACAAACATATGTGGCATAGCTTAGTTTGCTGCTGCACAAATATTCTGGACCGACATACCTCTGAACAAAGCTCAGGATATCAAGGTCAAGGTAACTTTATTTATACCCATAGGCAAGGTAAATTTGCTTTACAGAAAAATGATAGCATTTGGCATCCCTTAAAAAACACACATACCTAATAAAGATATAAACCTCACTGTAGCACATATAAAGTAATTTAATATTTCGAATCAAAAACAAAAACAGTTCTTATTTAATTCAGTGACAGCAACGGGGACAAAGCTATTTTCATAACGCTTTGTCCTGCATCTCGGAAATAGAAACCTCCGTCCCGAGGAAAGAAGCTGAAATTCACCCCTTAGAGCAGTGGTTCCCAAACTTTTTTTGCTGGCCCCCCCTTTGTTTTACAGAAAAATGTTCACGCCCCCCCTTTGCACGCACGCGCACACACACGCACGCCCAAACACATCCTCCAACCACACACACATATTTTGCTCAATTGCGGTTTATTTCACACCTCAAACATTTAGTGAACAATTAAGCAAATACAAGTAATCTGTAATAAATTACAGTAGTAAGAAAGTAAACTAATAACTCTTTTACGCTACGCCTGCACCTACACGGGTATTTTTGAAAACGCAGCCGTTTCGTCCACACGTAAACGGCGTTTCAAATCACCGAAAACTGAGATTTTTTTAAACTCCTTTTTTGCGTTTACGTGTGGACGAGGAATACGGAGTTCGTCACGCAACGTCAAAGCTATGTGCCTTTTTTCACGTCAGCTGTGCGCCACGTTATTGTTTACATGAGAGGAATTGCAGAATGGCAGATAGAGACAAAATACTGTTAATCTGACTATCTTCAGGTTTTACA